AAAGGCAGGAAGCAGCAGCGTCCCCAGGAAGCCTTTGAAGGCCACCATGTCCTCCTGCATGGATTTTACTCCTGGGAATTTTCATCCCAGCATGGGCCAAGAGCCGTGCCCAGCACTGGGAGCAGAGTGTCTTCATCCCACAGCCACCAGCTGCCTCTTGTCCCAGCACGATGGTCACAGCCTGGCACAGAGAAACTTATCTTTATAGTTTTTAAAGTCAATATAACAATAGGTGAACTGGTGGGAGCTCCATCCCCTGGTCTGCATCAGTTGGTTCATCCAGGGAGAGGAGCAGCTTTGAGATTTTTGGAGAGTTTTACCCCCTCACCTTTCAGGCCATGGTCAGCCAGGACAACTCAGTGCAGGAGATCGTGGTGTCTGTATTTACACACCCACAGAGAGGAAAACATCTTCTGAAGGCCACGAGGATGAAATTTTTATACAGTTAACCCAGTACAGCATTTACCTATCCCTCAGGCTATCCCATTTATCTCAGGAGGACAGCTCAAGGTATCAGCTATTTCAGGTTGTGACACATGCTTCCAAAGTTTGTCCTTGACTCTAGATGACTTTCTTTATTAAAGCTGTGCCATTAATTATCCAGACACGCAGGTACCACAGGGCCTGAACAAACTCCTGCTGAAAAAAGCGCAGTCCATCCTCCTCTCAGGCTGTCCAGCTCCCCGTCCACAGCAGGGGATGCCCAGGAGGACACTCAGACACTCGGTTCTCCTTGCCCACCTCCACCCCACCAAAGCCAGGACGTAGGGGTGGACCTGTACGTGGGCTGTGCCCACCATCCTTTACCTCTCGTGTCCTCTGCAGGTCCCTGATGTGGGCTGACAGGGACTGGAGGCAGCTCTCTGGGCTGAAGTGCACGAACCACAGCTGGGATGGGCAGGGTTAAGGAAGGGGTCTTTCCACCCTGCCGCCCACCCCAGCCCTCTGCCTCCGTGCAGATGGTGGCACTGAGCTCTCAGGAAGAGGAGCTGAGGCAGCTGGTGCCCAGGGGATGCTCAGGAACCAAACAACACACCTCAGGGCTGATTTTAAACCAAGAAGGTCCAGGCTAAGGGAAATCCTCAAGGTAAAGGGGAAGAGAAGAGGGGTGGCAGGGAAGGGGACATTGCCCCAAGGGCAGCCAGTCCTCCTCTCACACCTCCTCCACCCTGGGAGGCTGACAACTGGGATAACCCAGGGCCATTACCCATCACCCATCCCAGAGGCCTTACACCTAAATAAACTGGTGGGTTACCTTGACTTAGGCTCCCCTGAACTCCTTCCAGCTTGCTTTCCTCTGTTTCTAGGGATTCATTCCATTTCTTTTTTACATTTCCTGTACTTGGTGCATGTCTGCAGGACAGGGGCATTGTTTGCAGAGTCTACCAAGAGCAACGTGTTGGGGATGTGAGTCCTGCCAGCTCTGGGAGCAGCAGCCCCTCGAAAGGCAGCCAAAGGTCTGCCCTCATAGATCAAGTCAAGCTGCCACCATCAAGGGGGTTCAGGAACAGCACAAAAGCTTGGGAATTAACATGGATCTGACACTGGAGCAGAGAGAGAAAATGTAAATCCCCCTTGGGTTGTCTTCTGCTCCCAGGCAGCTCTTGGGCACGCAAGTAAAGGGGAAAGCTGGTTGGATTAGTCCTCAAATACTGAGGTCTAAAACTATGCTGCTCTGAATAAACACATAATTTACATGATTTACATGTAATTAAGTGTTTCTTCCTCATTCTCCATGACTGCACCCCTGCCAGTCCCCCTGAGGTACTCCCTGCCCCCTTCTCTGCCCAGCCTCGGGTCCCCCTCCTTTTGTATTTCATGTCTCTCTGTACATGGGGAGGTGGGGTGGGGTCCACCAGCAAATCTGGGAGACCATCCCTCTCACTTTGCTTTAAAACTTTCATGCTGTCTTAAAACTCCTTTCTTTCCCCTAAATCTCTGTCTAGTCCAGAAAAGGTATCTCCAAAAAGCAGAAAATGAGCCTCCCTCTGTGAGGTTTCTTCATAGGACAAGAGGAAACGGCCTCAAGTTGTGCTAGGGAAGGTTTAGGTTGGACATTATGGAAAATGTCTTCCCCAAAAGGGTTGCCCAGGGCTGTGCCAGGCTGCCCAGGGCAGTGGTGGAGTCCCCACCCCTGGAGTGGTTTCCAAGCTGTGGAGATGTGGTGTGAGGGACACGGAGCAGTGGGGACCTGGCAGCGCTGGGTTAATGCTTGGACCCGATGATCTCAAAGGTTCCTTCCAACCAAAACAATTCTATGATTCCTCAACCTGCACGTTTAAAAAAGGTCTTGGAGGTCAGAAGTGCTGGGCAGCCCCAGAGCTGGCAGTGGAGCAATGTTGTGCCTGAAGGAGGGAGCCCAAGGACACAGATGATGGGGAGAGCAGAGGCCCTGGGGTGCTGCTGGGTTAATTTGTCTCTGCAAGGCAGAACAGGAGCTCCTGGGCACAGGGACTCTGGTTTGCTCTGTGTTGGGTTTTATTTTTGCCACAGGCACATCACTGTCCCTCTGCTCATGGTAATTATCACTGTCATGTAAGTATAACACACTTCCAGGGATATTTCTCTGCCCAAAGGACTAATCCCACTACAATCTTTCAGACTCATTATTTCTAATTGCCTTTGTGCATATCTCCATCCCCTGTTATAGGAGAAACAAAAATACCTAATCCCTCAGGCTGTTCAATAGGGGAAAAAACAAATCCTAGGAATCCCACCCACTGGAATCACTCATGGACCATAACATTCAATAAATACCCCACGTCATTAGCTGCCCAGGAAGGGTATAAATGATTCCCTGTGGAAAGGATACTTGTAGGATGTTGTGTGACCCATCCAGGGCATCTGTAATCCCTAGTATTAAACTGTGTTTGAGGAAGATTTCATTGACAGCTGCCAGCCTCACATCTGTATTCATATTTATCTGTTAAAGAATGCAGGGGGAAAATTAAAATTAAAATTAATTCACATGCTTGACAGTCAAAGCTGGGCCAGGCTACAGCTACAGCCTGCAGCTGGATAATCCCAAATACCACATCTCTGAAAGGAAGGCAGTCTACAATCAGGCAGGATTGTCCCCAGCCCTCAGTATTGGCCAAGCCACCAGTAGCAGGTCTCTGTGCAGCCAGAAATCTCCCCGAGGACTATTTCTCCACAGACAAAATGTCTGAAGTGACACAGAACTGCAGTATCACATTGTCTCTCCCTCACCCAGCAGTCCCCAAAAGAAGGACTCTTCCTGAACCTCTGTGCACCCACACACTTGCCAGGTTTCCCTTTGGAAGAATCATTGCACAGCTGTCACTAGAGGTTGGCTCCAAAAGCCATTCAAACCCGTGCAAAGACCCCTCTGGATTTTGAATTGATCCTTTCCAAGATTGTTCTTTGGATCACTCCTTAGAAATTTCCATACTCCTGGGACTCCTGCAAGGACAAGTGGACAACAGCCAAAGCAGGCTGGTTGCCCCTCATGCTAACATCTCCTCCCTGTTGCCTTCTACTGCCCAGTCAACCTTGGTTGACAAGTTTTGACCTTGGTTGACAATTTTTGACCTCGGTTTGACAATTTTTGACCTCGGTTTGACAATTTTATTCCAACTTCTGTGGGCTAGGAGCTGCTTTTTGGTCTGGACCTGTTGCAGGGTCACGGTAAATGACACAAGAGAAGGCTGCTATTAATGGCAACAGGCAGCTGAGACTGCAGGGGCCGTGGGCAGAAGCAGGGCAGAAGCCAGCTCTGCTGCAAGCCTCGTGGCTTCCCACCAGCTGTAGGAGTGTGAACCATGCTCTGCAAGAGTCTTTATCTCCAGCCCCACAGGCACCCCGAGCCAGCCTGCCAGGCTCCAGCACCCACCTTCCATGCATTACAACACCTGCCCTGGCTCTGAGACAGCCCTGCTCTGAGCCTGCTGTAGAAATCTGCCTTCCTCCCCAGGGAATTACAGTCCTCACGTGCATCCAGGAGAGGAGCTGGGGCCTGGCCCTCGACAGGCTGGAGCCCTGCTCCCTGGGTGCTGGGTGCCCACCCATGAGCAGCCTCTTCTCACCTTCCTCTGGCGCCGGTCCATGACCAGGATCACAGCCAGGGTGAGTGTGACAGCAGCCAGGGTCACCAGCACACTGGCCTCCCAGGAGCGCCCGAAGGAGCACAGCTGGACTGTGGAGTAAATGTTTGTCCAGAGAGACACGTAGAAAACCTACAGAACCCCAGAGAGACTCATCATACTCAAAAAGAAACCCCAAAACTGTGCAAGTGAAAGGTCAAGGGAAGAAGGAAACGACCGGTCCCTTCTCCCCGGGCAATGCTTTACCATAAATGAACCCCCAGGAGATTTTCAGAGGGTGAGAAAGGACAGAAGTTCTTTCTAATAATAAACAGGGGAAAGAAAGGACTAGGAGGACTGAGTGAGCCCTAGTTTAGCCTAAAAAAATTACTGGTCAAAGATGGATTGTGGATTATTAATGTGTCATACCTAGGAAGGATTTCAACAGAGTTCTTCCATTTAGGTAAGAAATGCACTCACTGGGGCATACTGAGAAAGCCTCTCAGAGTCCCTGTATTTAGAAAGCTCCCATGTCAAAGCACTCAAGGTGGTGCAGAGACTACCCAATTACAGCAGTGCTCAAGTGGTGGACGCTGACACTGGGCTCAAGGACTATGCTCAGGGCTGGCAAACTTGGCCTTTACCTAAAAACAGAGAAAAATGAATTCATTTGGCCCTTATGTTCGATAGCATTGGCACAAGACATTGCCTAGAAGCAAATATGATGTGTCACAGCATCATCTTGCAATAACAAAGCTCATCCACACACTAAATGGGCACCAAAACCCCCAAAACACTGAGCACTTATTCCTACACTATTAGTGGAAGGAGGAGGAAACGTGTACCATGGTTATCCAAAAAAAATAAATGCAACCACAATGAAGGAATGGGATTTTATCACACTCTTGGCACACTGCAAAATATCAGCCTTACAGTGGATGCTAATGGCTGGGGTCTCTGCAGGAGCTTCTCTCACCAGGAGATGATGAGCAATACTAGACTATCTCCTCAGTAATCAAAATTGACTGAACCACTGGTCTTAATTAGCATGAAAACCAGAATATCTACAGATTTTTATAATCAAGTTTATAAAAAAAGTCTGATGTAGGTACTACTGCCTCAGCTTATGCTGCTTACCCAGCCACAGACAGCCCCTTTGGTGGGACTAGCAGCAAAAGGTTGGAGAAGGTGCCTGCAGAAACCCTGTGAGCTGGGATTTCCAAAGGAGCCCACTAAGAGGTGTGAAAACCAGCCTCTTTCCCAACCAAACCTCGCTCCCTCCCCAGGCACAGGAACCTCAGGGGTAGGTGCTGAGGCACCTCAGCAGGTTCCTGGCTCTGGGAAGCCTGGGGGAGACCCCCCTGTCCTTACCACGGCGATGGCGATCTGGAAGGCCCTGGAGTTGTAGAACATGTACCTCCTCACCTCAGGCTTCAGGACAGCATCCTGGAGCAACCTCCTCCACTCAGCCCCTGCCACCTGCAAGGGAGCAGAGAACTCGAGCCACCCTCGGGTTTGGGGCTCCTGGTCCCATCAGAACCTCCAGATCTCATCCATACAGCTGTCACAGCCCTAAAACTTGTGCTCCTGCCTCATCTGCAGCGAGTAATATCTCCTTGGAGAGCACAGGGTGAGTCATAAGGGAGCATCACTTCTTCATGACAACAGACAGAACAGGACACACAGTCCCAGGGATGCTCCATCCCATATGGGTGACTTCCAAGCAGTCCACCAATGTTGAATGGGTTTCCTCATGGAGGTTTAAGTCAAGATCATTACAGTTCACTTGAAGGCCACAGGGAAGTTGAACTGAAACAAGAGATTCTCCAAAAAGCAAAGCTGTCTGTGCTGTGGGTGCAAGTGCAAATGATGCTAATCCAGGGAACATCCACTTCTGCACAGTCCCCAGGGGAAGGAACACCTGAGGAGCTTACCTGAATCCCAAGGGACTTCAGTTTCTCTGCACAAAGCTCCATGTCAAAGGAGGTGGCTGAGCAGTTGTTGTCTGTGCTGAGCACCATGAGCACCTGGCCATTGAGGGGTTCTGCAAGAGCCCAAAGGAGTCATCAGCACAACCTCTGGGGTGGGTGTTTCTCCCAGCAGCCAAGGAGCAGATGGCAAAGGGAAGGCTGAGGAGTGCAGGCCACCCTGAGGTGTTTTAAATGGATCCAGAATCCCCCTCGGGACATTTTTAAAAACATCACAGGGAGCTCTGGAAGCAGCCTGATGTTCCCTGTAAGGAAACAGCCTACAAAACAGGAGGAAACCCCTAACACATTCCAGGAGGGAGCAGGCAGAGATAACATGATGCTCTGATCTTCATCAGGATGATGTCCTGTCAGTGATCCCTAGCTGAAAGGACAACGGACTCCCTCTGCTCTCAATGGGCTCTATCTAACTCTTGGAGAGATCCTCCATTGCCTACCCACTCCACCCACCACAAGAAAAAGCTTGAGCAATCCAATTAAAGTGCTTTCCAATAATCACATTGCCTGGGATGTGGCAAGGCTGCCCTGGAGTGTGAGCCCCATAGGTCCTCCAGCGTCCAGGTCCCTGCTCCAGCAGTGCTCCTGGGCACCATGGCTCTGCTGGAGGCTCTCAACGACCCGGTTTCAGATCAGTGGTGTAATAGAGAGACTCAAATTGCAGTCAGGAGCCCAAAAAGTGTGATGACAGCCTGTCCTAGATTTGTGGAGCAGGCTGCTCGGAGCTGAAGCAGAGCCACCTTGGAGAAGCAGAGGAGAGCTGAGCTCTGCAGGCATCCCATCTGGCATCCATCTAGAGTTTACACAAGCTGGGCTGCGTCAGGGGGAAGAGATTGGGTTTAAGGAAGTGGCTTGTTCAGAGGAGATCCTGTTTCACTGAACCATTTCACCAAGTTTTCCTTCCCTTTCAGAGATCTGAGGTCAGCCAGGTGTCCCCTGGGGCTGCTCCTGCTGGCACTGCCTGCTCAGTGCTCTCCCAGGCTGACGTGCAGCCTGCACTCCCCTTTCCCTTCTCTCCCCTTTCCATCCCCCATCCTCATCATCTCCTCACAGGAGTGGATGCTCAGGACAGGAGATGCCAGGGGAAGGAGGCAATGACATGACCATAGGGCGTGAATGCATCTAGTCAAAAAGGGAAGAGCAGATGCATCTGAACCCTCCAGGATAACAAGGTCCTGTCTGTTTGCCAGGGTTTACCTCCTCCTGACATAGGGGCTGTGACTATAAAGCAGGAGTTAAAACAAATGGCCTCAGCTCTCCAGTTCTCCATAGCTTGGGCCAAGTTCCTCAGCACCAAATCTGGCAAGTTGGATGCTGAGCTGAGACACCCAAGATCTGTAGAGGGGCTCAGCTGCTTGACCTCAGCTGGAGAGACAAGAGCTGCTTCACCCCTGCCAAAACTGAGGAAGCAACACGGGTGCCCTGCTGGCTGGTGGGTGGGGGTCTTGGTGAGAAGAGCCACCCGTGGCCCTGCCTCCTGTGTCTGCACAGCACCTCAGGTGGTTTCAGAAGTAGTGCTGCAGAGAGGGAGCAAATTGTTACTGGGGTAGGGGGGGAACCTGGAAAGCACAGGTCAAGTTTTCCAATGATTTCTTGACTTTTGAGGGCCAAGAGAAGAGGAATTCCAGGGTCCTGGTTTTCAATAGGTGAATATCCATTATATCCAGCTTTCCAAAAAAGTCCAGGTGTCTCCATCCTCTCCCCAAAATGCTGAAACATCCACAAGGTATGTTTACTTCTGCAGATGAGCTGCTGTTAAACAGCATCTTTGAAAAAAATCTCTCTCCTGCTGTTTGTAAGGGCACTGCACACAGCACTGCCTTCCTCCTCAAGTCCATAGGATCACAGGACCATGGAATGGTTTGGGTCAGAAGGCACCTTAAAGATCATCAGTTCCAACCCCCTGCCATGGGCAGGGACACCTCCCACTAGAGCAGGTTGCTCAAAGCCCCATCCAGCCTGGCCTTGAACATCTCCAGGGATGGAGCATCCACAGCTTCTCTGGACAAGCTGTTTGAGTGTCTCAGCACCTTCACAGTGAAAAATTTCTTCCTAACATCTAATCTAAACCTCCCCTCTCTCAGTCTGAAACCCTTTCCCCTCATTCTAGCACTACAATCCCTGAGAAGGGTCCCTCCCCAGCTTTCCTGTAGTCCCCCTTTAACTCCTGCAAGGCCACTATAAGGTCTCCCCAGAGCTGCTCTCTTACCTTTCACCCACTGCAGGGATCCTTCCTTCAGATCACTCTTACAGTAGAGGATGGAGGAAGGTGACCCATTTTTCTCAGCTCCACCAGCCTGGCTGGCATGGGCCATGCTGAAGGTGCCTCTCCTGGAGGGACTCTCTGCTGTCCTGTCAGGAATTCAGCACTTTCTCTACCTGCCTTATCTTCCACAGCTCAGCAGCAGGGCTCCAGCCCCAGGCAGCAGGTTTGCTCTCCTTCCCAGCTTGGGAAATCCTCATTCACACTCCCACTGACGACTTCCTCCAGATCCTGCTTTCCATGAGCAAGGAGCCATCCTCTAAGCCTGCAAAGAGGAAAAGAAAACCCCAAGCCTTGCAGAGGCAGCAAGCAAAGGGCAGCAGCACAGATCCCTGGGGTGTACTCTGCTCTTTGGACTCCACCCCCCGTGGATGTTATCACCAGGTAGGTGTTGCCCAGCCACCAGCCCTGTATGCACAAACCTTTTGCTGCATTTACCTTCTATTTTTTGTTAAGAGGTGGAAAAGTTACTCCTAAATAGCCCTTAAACTATCCCAATATCCTTAAATATTCCTATTTTGTAAACTATTAGGCAAGGAACAGGCAGGACTCCTCCTTGAGAAGCCAACAGGCTTTTTGCTGTCCAGAAGCAAGAGGAGCTGGTGTAAATGCCCCTCCCTGGAAGCAGGGCACCCACTCACTGTCAGGGGGATAATTCCCCACCACGCAAAGGGAACAGTGCAGATAAGGAGGAGAAGTCTCTCTGCTGAAGGCAGAGGCAAGCAGGAGCTCTCACCCAGCACAGCAAAGCCTTCCAGGGTCTTTCCTTCCCCCTCTCCTCTGCACCATGGGCTGTGCCAGAAGCCAAAGGGGCACGTCCTCGCAGCAGGCACCGTGCCCAGGAGTTTTCCAGGCCAAGGTGGCTGATGTAGGTCTCTACCCTTCTGCCAGGCCCTGTGGGTGGTTATTAAAGCCAGTGCTTGGAAGACTCTGACGTTTATTTTTCAATTATCTTCCACTCCCGTGGCTCAGCTGCATCCACCCCAGCTCTCCAAAACTATCATTTACTCCTTAACCTCCGCCCAGCCTCACTCCTGGTAAGCAAGAGGGACTCTTGGGTCCCTCACAGAGCTCATCCCAAAAAGGATTTGGGTTTGGATGATGGCTGTTGCTGCGATCACCCTTCACACAAAGCCAAGGCAGTCACTGTCTGAAGGACTATCAGAAACTGAGGCAAGGGGAACAACACACAAATTTCTGATTGCAGAAAAGCCCCGAGGTGGGCTGGAAACTCAAAGGAATCAAGCCATGGTAGGCGTTGCACAAGAGGTGTGTGCACACAGGACAGGCTCAGCACCTGCTGTGCACCAGCACGGGTGAGGACCAATCCTCCTGTATGCTGAGCAAGGCTCCCCAGCACCATTGCCTTGCTGAGCCACGTGCTCCTGAGCACGTCTCCCAGCACAAAAGGTGGATTCAGACCATGCCTTCCTCCCTCCTCTCTCCTTTTTGTCTTCAGTCCCTTCAGGTTAGCCTCAAACAGAGAGGAAGATGAGAAACAAGGCAGAGAAGCCCACAGAAAACAGCAGCAGAGAGAAAGACCAGAGGAAACGAGAAGGAAAGCTAATTAATACCTACCACCCTGTTGTTGCTGCTGTCACATTAAGTTAGAGAAGAGTCAAGGCTCTCTGGCTGGGATGTGGAGAATTTGGAATCTCTGGAGGCCAGTCCCCAGGAGACAACAGCAATGGGGGCAGCAGAGTGAGGGCAGCTCGGCTTCCCCAGCCCTTTTTGGGAGCTGCAGGAGGGCAGGAGCATTCCCCAGGCAGGACGGGCTCGCTGCCCAAAGCAGCTTTGCTTTTACCCCCTGGTGCAGCACAGACCTCGCTTGGAGCCGTTGCCTTTTCCTGCAGAACCACTGCCTGGTTTTAGAGGTGGGTCCCCCCCCAGATCTTCCTCTGCCACCTCTTGTGCTAACATGAGGGACATCCTCTCATCTCCTGCAGTCCCCTGGGTCTGTGTCACTCTACACCTTATTCTTTATGCAATGCCAACGTCTCTCTGCTGACTTTGCCTCTTTCAGGCCACGGACCTTCGTCGTAGGACACCTCCAAGCCCCTAGCTAAACAACAGAGACACATCCAGCAAGTCCTTCTGCTTCATTTCCAGAGCAGCCAGCAGAAGCTTACCTGGTCCAGCTCACCTCCTGGTCCTGGGGAGCCAGCTCAGTTCCCTCCTCCTCCTCATCCTCACTATCCTTCTTCTGCCATCATCCCACTCTGCACTGTCCAGGCACCACAATGTCCCACCACCAAGCAGGGAGGTCTCTGGTCCCTCAGTTCCAACCCGTGCTGGGGAAGTTCACTCTCTTCCTTGCATCTCCTGGGAACCACGGACTAACCAAGCAGAGAAGAGGGTGAGAAGCCTTTGCCCCTGCACTCCCTCTCATTCCCCTGAGCTGCAAGCACCAACTTGCAAAATTTCCCTTGTGCATGTGACTTTTCCCCTAGGCTGGTTTCAGAAGTGTGGTTTTAACCCTCTAGAGTTCCTCAAAAGCGCTTCCCCACCAAAGGCACAGCCACGGGAGGAGGTTCCACCACAGGAATTATACTCACCTTTTGTGGGGTGGGGGTCTAGTGCTGGAGCTGGACCCCAAAGGTCGTTAAGAGCTCAGGAGTGGCAAAGACAGAAAGGTCTCCTCCTCCTCCTCCTCCTCGATCAGCTGGGCAGGACTCAGGGAGTACAAATCCCAAGGTTGCATCAGATAAACTGCTGTGAATATATTAAGTTAAAGCCAACCGTTGATGACAGGGCTGGAGAAATCAGAAGAGGTGAAGGAAGACCTCAAGGCTGAGAGCAGCCCACAGTGTACTCAGCACCAGGTCACGTCAGAGCACAGAGGAAAAGGGATGGCAGGTCGGGTGGGCTCTGTGGCCCTCCCCCAAACAGGAGGCAGCGCTGATAAGGAGGGCGGGTGCAGGTTTCCTCTCCAGCTGCTGGACTCTGAAGCAAAGCAGGAGGCTCAGACACAGTCAGACAGACCCTCTGCAGCAGCTTCTCTTGCTGGAGAAGTCATTTGCTTTCACAGATGGTGAAGATGCTGAGAACACCAGAGGAAAGAAGCCTCACCAGCCTGGGGATTGGGGCTCCACAGCTCACCACGAGCCAGAGAGTCCACGGAGGGCAGGAAGAGAATGAATCGAGTCAGTGACCGTGAGCCTTAGCGAAGGCTTTAAAGAAAACTTAAAAGCCCAGAAGCAGCAGCTTTGTTGCAGTGCCCGTGTGCACTTCCTGGAGGAAAGGCTGCTCTCCTCTCGGGGGGAGGAATTTCTGCAGCCCTGCTGGCTCTCAGCATTGCTGAGCGATGCGTTCACCCCGTCACGGGGCTGCACGGCCAACAGGACCCACTCCAGAGCTGCTTCCCACAGCCCCACCTGGGCTCCTGGGACACGGGGAACAAGCAGGACCTCCTCCAGGTGTGGAGAAAAACCAGATAAATCCCCTCCTTGTTATCTCTAGCTCAAGGCCCAGCTCCAATCCCCACCCAAGATAGGGCCACGCAAAGCTTCAGGTTCCTTTGCCTCATCAAAGGCTTTCACCTCGTTTCCTCCTCTCCCCACCCACTCAAAGATCCTGACGGAGGGAGAATGGGACGACCAAAGTGCTTAGAAGGAGCACATCAGATAACTGCAAACCCTGGTGGGGGTAATGAACTCCAAGGCAACATTCCCAACTCCCTGCAGCGTGTTCACCCTACACCTCTTGTTCTGCAAGACCTGCGTGTATGGGCTGCTCTTGGCATCAACACCTCACCCCAGCAGCACCAGCAGAAAACTCCTGCTCCTTTGGGAGGGGGAAAAGAAGGAGAAAAAAAAAAATACCCAGACTCACAACCCCAAAGGAAAAAAGGAAATTCCAAGTTTGAAGCTATTCCAATTTTGCTGTTCTGAAGCAGCAAAAAAAAACAAACCCAAAACACACCATTAAATCTTTAGGAGCTCTTGGGCTTAAGAGTCTTCCTTCTGAAGGGTTTCAAAGCATCTGTTTCACACCTGTCTAAGGAAACAAGGAGGAAGCTCCACAGCAGCTTAAACCAACCAAAATCAAAGGTAAGGTTACCCAGTTGTTTTTCTGAGATTGTTTTCCACCCAACCACCTCCCCGAGGCTGCAGCTCTGGCCCAAAGGGGATGAGGGATCTGCAGGTTGGGTTGTGAGGAATCAAGCCCAGCTCCCAGGCCAACTTGAACAGCAGGCATCAAACCACAAGCTCAGAAACCTCTGGCAGTTGTTAGTTTTCTGATCCTCTTATTAGGGGCATAATTTTGTTAGGCAGGCAAGAACCTAGCAGGGATCTTCTCAATCCAATGAGGTATCTGTAGCCACGTGGCCCACAGAATAGCCTCTAAAATATTCAGCGATTAATATATTCCAATAAACAACACATTTTAGATTCTAGCTGGCCAATAAGCTGTTATTGGATTTGCATATATGCCTTTATAGCTGGGCTTCTGAAATGCAGAGATGTGTCTGTAGCATCCCTATCCCAGCTATTAATGGTCCTACCAAAACCTGAGCATTAGAGATTTAACCTTCATTAAGCCAACTATAGGGAGAACTATAATTAGTAGCAAATAGAAAGTCAATCAGTAAACTAGAAAGGCATTTGGAGGGAGGCAAAGGCTTACAAGAAATAGGGAACTATTTATCTGTAAACCAGAAAGGGGACACTGGTAGGATCCCAGCATGGACTGGGGGTGCTTCTGCTTTGCAGAGCCCATCTGACACACTTTGAAATTGGCCCTGGTAAAAATGAAAGTCTTCCAAAAATCAAAATGAGGATGAATGAAGTGAAAGTGAATGGCAAAGCAGACCTCTGCTCCAGGAAGCCCCGTGTCGGCTGGTGGGGGATTTGAGGGTTTGTTTTATACAGAGTTAAGGCAGCTCGAGGTTTGTCTTGAGCCTCACTCAGTCATACCTCTGAAGAAGCAAGTCCTGACTCAACAGAAACCCAGAGCAAAGCTGTTTTCACAGTCTCTCTCCTACTTCCCTTGCTCTCTGTTTTCTCCCTCCAGGTCTTACCCCTCTGATAACCGCTGAGCTCCCACTGCAGC